CCTTGCGAACACGCTGACTGCACTTAGGGTTGAGGGCATCTCTAGCCCGCCACTCCGATGTCGATCATCCTGCATCCGGGCTGGTGAGTACGCTTCTTAGCTCCCCCGTCCTGGATGTGAGGCTACCGACTGCACTCCAAGTGCTCAAAGTTCTCAAGCCGTCATCAGTGAGCTCCGCGCACGACTCGTAGGCGTACCCGCGTGCCGCTGGCATACTACGCGACGGTGGAGGCGCGTGGGCTTGCTCAAAAGGCATGCATCTGTCGGAGAGTGTGCCGCAAGACGTGATGTGCCTCCGCTCCAGGTGTGTGGCAGTTCGATGGATCCAGCCCAGCGACCTCTACGTGACGATTGAGGACTGCTCTTCCCCTTCGGCCGAGCCTCCAGTCCCTGCCACCGTGCACTGGCGCCAGCGAGCTGCATTTACATCCCGCACGCGCGATCGGCAGTCGAGTTACAACCCGCAGCTGTGCTGTGTGCGCGCGCACTCGAAACGTGGTTCGGCGATCTCTCGGCGACCACTCGTCGACTCGCGCTCGGACGCGAGGTGCGTGCTCGCCTGCCTCCCCCGGGAAGGACACGGCCATTTCCAGCGAGATCTGTGGAATCATCCTCACCACCCTGCCCTCACGCCACCCAACCCGTCCGGCTGCTGCCATACTGGGACGTGAGTGCAATAATTTGTGCTGCCCTCGCCATCCGACGCGTGTGCTCCGCTCCCTGCAGGCGGGGATCGCCGTCGCGCACCAACACGCTTCGTCCGGGAGGCGCGCGGCGCGACCCGCGTTGCGAGAGCGTCGGCGGAGCCCGCGTGCTGGCCCTCTCTGGGACCGCCACGCTGCGGCGGTGGGCGAATCATGGGGTGAAAGAAGCGCGGCACTGCTCTCCGAAGGTGGTGGCTCTGCCGCCGCCCGCGCCGCAGGTCGGCGCGGGCGCGGCTGTCAGACGCCGTCATTATCGTAGCAGGCTTGTCACATTTTTTACTCCTGACGCGAGATGGTGGTGGTGTCGGTGGCGGGGGGCGTGCGCTTGCACCTCTCCAGCAAAAGCCTTACCGGATACAAGGGCGTGCACAAGGTGGCCTCTGGCCGCTTCAGGGCTGGTTATACCTGCGCACCGCCGGACCGGCCGAGAGGTGGTGGTGGCAAAGTCGGCTTAGGCAACTTCGACACGGCGGTCGATGCGGCGGTGGCGTACGCGCTGGCGGTCGGGGAGTACACGCCTCCACCTCCGCCACCAGCAGCAGCCGAGCCAGCGGAGGCGCCAGCAGCGGCAGAGCCAACCACGCAGGCTCCGGTGACGCAGGCCCCGGTGGCTGCAGAAGCGGAGGGCGTGCGTTTGCACCTCTCGAGCAGCAACAGCACCGGCTACAAGGGCGTGTACAAGGACGGCTCGCGCTTCAAGGCGCAGCACAGGCGCGGGGGGGTGGACGGAAGGAGTGTCTCCCTCGGCTACTATGACACGGCGGTGGAGGCGGCGGTGGCGTACGCGCGATCAGACTCCACAGGAACGGACTACCGTCGACCTCAGCCTCAGCCTCCTCCTCGGCCTCGGCCTCCGGAA